GTGGTAGCTGGGCACCATCTAGTTCTTCTGGTCTCAGGCTGATGAAGTCTCTGGTTTATGTGGCCCTTTCTGTCTCTTGGGCTAATACTTTGCTTGTGTCTATGGTGGTTCTTCATTCTCCTTTACTCCAGGTGGGTGGGGACCAATTGATGCCTCTTAGGTGGCTGCTCGCTAGGTTTTAAGACCCCAGACGCCACTCACCAAAGTGGGATGCCTCATGCTGTTTTTAGTAGCCTGCCCCTCTTTTCTAGCATGTCATGTTCTCCAGCACCTGGCACTGTGCATGACTCAAAAAAGGGGCTTAGTAATGACTCAGATTGATTACTTGAAAAACGTTGAATTGGCAGATGTTGTGTTATATATTTTTACAATAAAAAAAAAGAAATGACTCAAATTGATTCATACAGCACATATGTATGGAGCATCTATGCTGAGTCTTCCTCAGGATGACTCATTAACAACCTGCATTATGCAGATGACACAACCTCGCTTGCTGAAAGTGAAGAGGACTTGAAGCACTTACTGATGAAGATCAAAGACCACACCCTTCAGTGTGGATTACACCTTAACACAAAGAAAACAAAAATCCTCACAACTAGACCAATAAGCAACATCATAATAAACAGAGAAAAGATCGAAGTTGTCAAGGATTTCATCTTACTTGGATCCACAATCAACGCCTATAGAAGCAGCAGTCCAGAAATCCAACGACATATTGCATTGGGCAAATCTGCTGCAAAAGACCTCTTTAAAGTGTTAAAAAGCAAAGATGTCACTTTAAGGACTAAGCTGTGCCTGACCCAAGCCATGGTCTTTCCAGTCCCCTCATGTGCATGCATAAGCTGGGCAATTAATAAAGAAGACTGAAGAAGAACTGATGCCTTTGAATTACGGTGTTGGCAAAGAATATAGAATATACCATGGACTGCCAAAATGAACAAATCTGTCTTGGAAGAAATACAGCCAGAATGCTCCTTAGACGCAAGGATGGTGAGACTTCATCTCAAGTACTTTGGACATGTTATCAGGAGGGACCAGTCCCTGGAGAAGGACATCATGCTTGGTAAAGTAGAGGGTCAGCGAAAAAGAGGAAGATCCTCAATGAGATGGATTGACACAGTGGCTGCAACAATCGGCTCAAACATAGCAACGATCATGAGGATGGCACAGGAATGGGCAGTGTTTGGTTCTGTTGTACATGGGGTCACTAGGAGTTGGAACCGACTCTACGGCACCTAACAGCAGGAACATTAACGTGCTGAGAGCTTCAGTTGAAAACCACAGGGCTGCCACAACCTGGAGCTACCTGCCATGCTCTCGCGAGACTCCGGGCTGGTGCACGTGCTGTTGTTTCTGCCTGGAGTGCCCAGGACCTAAACTTCTGGGTCCCTCTGCCTCAGCTCCACAGGATCCCAGCAGGTACTGCTGTTCATTGCTCTCAGTCCTTTTCTCCCACAGTCTCCTCCATCTGATGCTCTCTTCTCTGCTTTCTCCAGTAGAAAGCACTAACTTATTCTTCAAAGCCTTCACTCAGGGGTCCAGAAAGTTTCCACAACCCCCTGGGCTGAGACTGGCCCCCAACCCTGAGCTACAGCTCTAGGCAAACTAGGTTGCTGTGTTGTCATCGCTGCTTCACACACAGGACTTCCTCACTCCACGGAAGCCTCTGCCCGCGTTCATCCATTCCTTGGGCAAACACTGCTCAAGGCCTCTACTGAGCTGGCCCCAGGCTGGGAGATGGAGGCAAAGCTAGATGGACAAGTTTACCTTGGAATCAGCAACCTGGGGGCAAGCATGTCCTCTTCATTTCTGGCACCCCAGTGCCCAGCACAGGGCCTAGCCTAGAGCCAGCACTCATCCATGTTTGCTGAACTGAATTAGAGGACATGAATATCCCTTGCTAGAAGGAGAAGTCCCCAGAATAAATTCACCTACTGAGGTGTCTGGCCTATGGTTATGGGGAGTCAGGTCCCTCCAGCAGAGCTGTCTGTCTGTCTATCCATGTGACATCTGCAGTGCACCAAGGCTCCCACACCAGGCCCCTGCTCAGAGGCGTGGGCAGAGGGAGATGAGAAGCACTTACTCCAAGGATCCCCTCCCCCTCCCACATAGTCACACCTACCCCCGACTACCTTGTCTTTGGGGGACTGTTTCTTGATGACCTTGGCTGCCAGCTTGAGGCCCGTGGATCTCTCTGTGCAAGTGCACACCGCTCCAAACTTGCCGCTAGATGGGAAGAGGCTCGAGTGAGGGGGCCCCAAAGGGCATGGGGAGGAGAGCGTGTGCTCTGCCTCCACCTCGGCCCAGACCAGATGGGGGCCTCGGTGGCCTCCTCTGTGAGGTAGGGGACACTCAGCCCAGCCAGTCCTGCCTTCTTTCTGAAGCTGGGAGGTGTGCTGTGGGGACAGGGGCTGAGGCATGTTCTTGGAACCACATGAGCCATGTGCACAGGAAGGGGAGGCTCATGTGGAGGATGGCCCAAGATGCGACAGCCCAGACAGGTAAGCTGGTGGTGGGCAGGGGCTTGGGGACTTTGGGTGCTGGAGGAAGGCAGCCTGGGGCAGCAGGAAGGGCTGTATTTGTAGAGGTACTAGACTGTTAGGGCCGTTTGTACAGCAGGAGTCACCATGAGTGCATCAGTGCGCGGGCCTGGAGCCGAGACAGCCAGGAAACTGCTGTCTGTTTCGTGCGGGCTATACTGAATGATTTGTCTGATGGTGCGTCTGTATGAGTAACAGTGACACCGAGTGCATCACAACACATGTGACGGCTTGCACACAACAGCGTGTGGCCATGTAGAAGCGAGTGTGTCCCAGTGTGTCATGTCCAAGTGGGTGTGTCTGGGCCTGTCCCTGGGAAGATGGGAGGCAGGCTGCTTGCACTCCTTCCCGTGTGCCAGTGATGTGGGGTCCAGCACTCACCCTCCCAGCGCCTGCTTGTAGTCGATACTGAATTCACTGTTGACATTTCCAGTCCTCAGCTCCACGATGCGGTGGGGGAAGGGGGCAGGGGGTGGTGGGCAATCATCTGGGAAGCAGAGCAGGGTCATCACAGTCAGGGCTGGGGCTGCTGGGGGCTTACCTCAGCATCACCCTTCCTGCCTGGCTCATACCCACCCAGAGAAGTACTCCAAGTGATACCTGGCGGACTACTAATCCAGGATAGGAGTTGGGGCCCAGTTTCCAATTTCAGCTTGGGGAGGTCTCTGCCTCTGAAGGAGGGAGACTCAGCTTCTCCCTTCAGAACAATGGGGAAGCTGACTGGACTTCTTGGACCCTCCACAGGTATCAGGTATAAGAACCCTATCCCAAGCTATCTGTATTTCCATTTAAAAAAATTAAAAAAAAAAAAAAAAGCCAAAACAACGGGATGCCAAACAATGGGGTTGCTATGTCTGAATGATGGCTAGGTGTTGGGACCTGCCTAGCCTCCCCTCTAACATCACCACAACACTGGCCAGACCTAGGGGAAAGAGCGTCCAACCTGGGCATGGCCGTGGGGAACTGGGACTGAGAGGTTTAGTAGGGAGAGGGTGCCACCTGGTGGCGAACATGGAGAACAGTGGGTCCTGGCTGGCGCCAGGCTGAGTCATCAGGGAATGGAAACCTCTTTATAAATAGCATAAGCTGCAGGGAAGCCGTGCTGGTGATAAATCAGACAGCCTTTGGAGGTTGTTCAGGTCCCATTACCCCAAGGATGTGATTTCTGGGTCGGGTGGAGAGGAGGTCTCTGCCGCTGCTGGGGGAGGAGGCAAGGCTCCTGGCTGCCACCCAGCCACCAGGTCCTCCCACCCTGTCTGGGTGGCACCGTGCCACTCACCAAGCAAGCTGGCGGGTCTCCCAGGGCACCTCAGCCTGGAGAAGGGGGGGTGTCAGGACATTCTGGACTCTCCTGACCCCATCTCACCCCACCCCCAGCCCTGCCCCACCCTGCCCAGGCCCTGTCCCCGTTCACCTGCTCAACAAGCACGCTCATGGTTGGTGGCTCCTTGCTGGGCACTCAGTAAACCTTGTCTGATGGTCAGTTAGAGCCACTCCACAGCCCTACCCCATCTCACATGCCCAGCTTCCTTGGTCACTGCTTCCACACACAGATGCCTGTGCTCCTCAGCTCATGAACCTGCCACGGCTCCCATGACCTCCGGGATGAAATTTAACTACCGAAGCCTGGCATGTGAGCCCCTCTACAGCCTGACTCCAAATTCTGCTGTCTGGAGAGTTCATGTTACCCCAGTGGTCAGGCTCCCCAGATAACCTGCCTGAGTTTTCTACCCTGTTGTGGCCAAAGTAGAAGAAAGTCAAAAGTAGACTCTGGAGTCAGGCTGTCCTTGGTTCAAATCCTGTCTCTGCCACATTCTAGCTGTGAATTTTGGGGTGCTTCATGTCCCCCTTCTGTGAGCCACCGTTTCCCCATCTATCAAAAGGGAATAGGAACTCTAACTTTCTGGGGTTGTGTGACCAGACAGGCCTGGATGATGGCAGTTCAGCCCTCTAAACGGAGACACATCGGAGAAATACCCCTACCCCCTCCTCCCTCCTCAGGCCCCAGGGAAGCCCCAGCCCCCACCTGCCCATGGCCTACCTAAAATCTGGAAGCAGTCCTCCTCCCTGGCTGTGTGAGAGAGGGCCTGCCCCACCTCCGATCTCTCTGAGGGAACAGCCTGGAACTCAATCCCGCTCGAGGTGTCCTCTTGCACCTTAGCCTGGTCAGCCTGGTGTGGGGCTTTCTCTCCTGCTTCCTTCTGGCTCCCTCCCAGGGTGTTCTTCCCTCCTTCTGCCACCTTGGCTGGCTCTGGATCCACAGGGCCAGGGGTCACGGGCACCCCTTCAAAGATGAGATCCAATTCCTCACCTGGGGGCTTCTGGGCAGGCAGCTTCTCAGGGCTAGAAGGGGGAAACACAGAGGTGAAACCCACAGCAGCTCCAGCCTGCAGCCCTGGGCAGGTCTCTGTGCTTCCAGAGCTTCAGCAATCTGGAGCCAATATAGTCCTGCCTTTCCCACATTCACCTTGTACAAAATCCCAATGAATGGTGCAGCCATTATCTTCTCTGTCAACACACTAATAGATCATTAATAACTATAAGTAAGAGTGTTGATATGGTTACTTATCATGTGGACACAATTAGGGAGATTGCATACCTCTTGCTTCATAAAAACTGTGGTTTTTATATGATGTAATTGATATTAATACATAATGATCAAATTGGTGTTATTATTGTGGTTTGCAATATATCAATAATGATCTTACTAATACGATTAGCATTAAGGTAAGTGAAACTAACTGCATAATAAGCCTGGTGCTACGTTATGGTTATGGGCAAGTATTAGTAATGATCTCCTAATGTACTTCTCAATCATCTTTTCATAGTAGATCAATAATTATATTAAGAAGAAGGGTCATCCTTGCCACCTGATTGCCAGCCCTGCCCTTGGCTAGCCCCAAGCTCATGGAGTAAAGAGAACTCTGGACCCCAGATGCCTAGAGGTGCTCGGCCTAGCCGTCTGTGAGGGCCTCTCCTGTCTGGTATTACAGGCTTCTATGAACTATGGCAAAGTCCTGGTTTCTGCAGGGGGACAAGGTGGTAGGACCAATGCCCAGGACAGGGGGTGCTGAATGTCAGAATGACCCTCCTCAGCACAGGATACAATGACAGTGATGCCCAGGACAGGGAAACTAAGCACGACCCCTGGGGACAGAGTCACAGGACCTCTTCCTGCTCCCAGGCAGGGGACACGCACCTGGAGATGACAGCGGGACAGCTGGGGCTGTGCAGGAAGGCGGGCGAGCCCCTCCTGGCCGAGGCAAAGTCCTCTGCTGCCTTCTTGGCCACCTTGGGCTCTCCAGGGTCCTGGCTGCCCGAGGTCCCTTGCTCAGCCGTGGGCTTATTGACACTGGCTTCAGTGGTTGCCGTCGGCTGCGGCAGGGCTGCCGGCTGCCCAGCACTGCCCTCCGCAGGCTCCCTACCCAGGCCCTCCTCTCCCTCGGGGTCCTGGCTGCTAGTTGAGGGCTGGACCAGGACACCATCCCCTTTCTCTGAGGTGGCGGCTTTGGCATCTTTCCTCAGGTTGGGTGGCTCAGGTTCTTTCTCTGGGTCTGGGGGGCCAGGATCCTTCTTTGGGTCTGGAGGTCCAGGGTCTTTATCTGCAGCTGGGGGTCCCTCTTCTGCTGCACCATTAGGTGCCTTGTCTGTAAAGGGGTGAGAGATCAGCCAGGATCCACCCCGCTCCTGCCCCCCGCCCCAACCAGGCTGGGCAGAAACCAGCTCCAGGCCTAGATCCCACTCAGAGGGGGCCACTTGATGAGGCCGTAGAGATGGGCTGCCAGACCTTGGAGGTCCTCTGTGGGAGGTCTCTGACCCTTTGGGGATAGGCCTTGAAGCCCACTCCATTCCCTTGCCCAAAGGGTGTAGGCGCCCCCACAACCATCCATGGAGGCCTCATGTTTTCCCAGTCTCTCCTGGAAGGGTTTCATATAGGCCCTGGCCCCAGTCCCACCCTACCTAGAGATTATTCTGATTTCTGTGTCCCCCATGGCCCGTGCAAAGAGGCCTCCAGCACAGAACTTCCACTGAGGATCCTGCCTGAGCCTGGATTCAAACACTCCTTCCCAAGCTCCTCCCTCCATCTCCTGCCCCGGCTTGGCACCTGTTGACAGGCTCTGGATTCCCAGCTCGATTGCTCCGTTTTCCGTCGCCATGAGGTAAGGAGGCGTGTGCTGCTTCGTGTCTAACTCAAGTCTTTCTAGCTGCAGAAAGAAGAGTGAGGTGTGTCAGGCTGCCAGATTCCTCCTCTTGTCTGGTTGTGGAGAGACAGACCAGGGCCAGGTGGCTGAGGGGAGAGAAGTACCTGGAGCAGAGAGGGGAATCTGGTGGCTGTGGGTCTGCAGCGGCTGCCCAGGAGCAGTCCTGGTGCTGTTGTAAGGGACTGGGCCGGGTGGGCAGAGGTGGAGGCAGGGGTGTGGGCAGTGGAGGCGGGGACCGGGGAGAGGATCTCTTACACCAGGGGCCATGCAGCTTGGACTGCCACCACCTGTCACTCTTGGCCCCCGTTCAGAGGACATGGCATTCTTCCCACAGCCCAACTGGGAGAGAGTGGGGTTGGAACAAGCAGGAAGAGGCAAGGGAGGGGGCAGCTGGGGGAGCAGCCCTTTTCCCAGGCCTTGCCCGGGGTCCTGGCTTGCACAGGATCAGGGAGGGGGCCTTCAAGAAGAAGGGCTCTCAGGCAGGCTGAAGGGCAGGACTCTGTCCACTTGCCATGCCACATCTCCTGGGGTCCCCAGAACCTGGTTAGAGCCACATAGGCCCAGGGACAATCACCCTGACCCCAGTGCCCAGATCTGTGCCCACGACCCCTGTCCCTGGCATCCGGACCTACTTGGATCATCTTTGGGTAAGAAATTGGCTCAGAAGCCCTTGCTTAACATGTCCATGGGCCTGAAAGCTTTTTCTTCTGAAAATGTCCTTTTCTGGAGCTCCTGGGGAGAGGGGGCTGCTCCGAGTAGCCATAGAAGATGGTTAGGACCCCCGTGCCCCTTGCCTGAGATGAGTCAGTTCTCTCCAATGGCCCACCTGGAAGGAGGGCTGGTGGAGAGTCCTTTCTGAAGATCTCCCACTACAGTGGACCCCAGGGGCGCTCCATCCCGGAGCTTGGCTGGGGAAAGCTATGCTCCAAAGGGCCTTCCATCACGCAGGGGCTATCTGCCCAGAGCCTTTCTCAGAGGGGAGCCTTGAGAACGAGCCAGAGCCAAGTGCATTAGAAATAGCTCTGGAGGGGGCGTCCGGGTTCAGGTCCTGACTCTGGCATCCCGTCCAGTCCTCCAGCTCCGTGAGCTCAGCTCCTCTGACAGCAAATGGGGAAAGCAAGCATTGTCCTTGGATGAGACAAAGGAAGGCGAAATGACTCAAGAATGTAGTGTGTCTAAGCAAGGGATACGTGGCTGTAAAAACAATTGAGGAAGCTGTTAATGAACTGATATGCGGTGTCCTCCAAGGTGGGGGGGAAAAAGGTGCAGAAAAGCATGTACAATATGATTTATGCAGAAATGGGGGGAAAGTATTTTTATTTATATTTTGTATTTATATACAGATATAAATTTTCACCTGTATAAGATTTTATTTGCTAGGATATGCAAGAAACTGGGGAGCATGGGGTGGGAGGGAGACATCACTGGATATCCTTTTACTTTTCAATTTGACCCATGAACTATGTGAACACATTGCTATTCAAAATGAGTGTTGTTGCTGTTTTTTAAGGGAGCAAATGTCGACGGTTCTTGGTACAGGTTAGCAAAGGCCAGGGCTGGGGCTCCTTCTCCAGTTTTGACTGCTTTTACTCTCCATGCCTGTCCCTCCTCTCCGTTCCTGTCCCTCCTCATCTCCATTTCTCCCCTGCAAAGTCCAGTTGACAGCCTACCTCTTCTAGGAAGCAAAAATATAGCTAATGCTTATATAGCACTCCCAAGGTGCCAGGCCGTATTCTAAGTGCTGGTATGTGGATTCGCGCATGTGATCTTCATAACAACTCCATGCGGTAGATACTATTACAGATGGGGAAACTGAGGCACAGAGAGGCTAAGTAACTTTTCCAAAGTCATACGGCTTGTAAGGGGCTGGGCTGGGATCTGAACCCCTCTGATGCTATTAGCTTTATCCATACTATCTAAAAACATCACGTTGACAATAACTCTATGGAGAGCTTTCATGCCCATTTTCTGGATGAAGATGTGGAGGCTCAAAGGAGCGTGGTAGCCTGGCAAAATCACTTAAGAGGGAGGGATTGGAGCCAGGGATGCCCTTCTTCAAAACCTAAAGTATGTCTTTCTTCTCTGAAAGTTTCCAGCCTCTGTCTTGCACCCCCAACCCCACCCTACTTCCTGGGTACCTCTTTATGGATCTTGTAACTTCTAAAGGTTGAAATGCTTCCTGTTCAAACCTAACAGTTGGGGCTCTTGGCTCTCTCTTTGTGTTCCCCACATTTTCTGGTTAGCTTGAAATGTCAGACACCCCTCTCCTGGCCTCCCTCAGTGTCGTGGGCTGATCCCATGATTGGTTGCCTGGGAGCCCCTCGGGGCAGGGACTGGATACTGCTCCTGTGTCCCCAGCACAGAGTGTACCAACACTCTGTGTTTGATGAGCAAAGAACAGAGTGACCAACAAGGCTTTGGACAGGGTTGCTGGATAACTCTACTATGATGGCCCCTGGAGACACCCACTTTGTTATTCTCCTGGTTCCCGATACCAATCACTTACTGACTGCCCACTATGGGCCAGGCCTGACTATACCAAGTGCTTTACCCAGCTCATTGGAACTTCACAAGGGACTCTAGGGAGCAAGTGTCAGACAATTGAAGGTGTGGAGACAAGCTCAGAGGGTAGGTAACTTGTCCCCAAAGTCACATAGCCAATGAGTGGCTTCAAACAACCCAGATTCAAACCCAGAGCCACCTCGTAATGAAGCCAAAATCCCAGCTGGCACAACATCAGTGGCTTTGATACTTTTGCTACCATTATGATTCCCAAACGACAGGTAGCATTTACTGAACTCTTACTAAAACACACCTGGCACTGGGGTCAGCAACCTTACAAGCACCCTCCATTATAACAATCCTTCTGCGTGGTGTGTAGGAGCAGGTCAGTGAGGCTCCGTGACTCCTAAACTGTGTGGCCGGGGAAATACCTTCACTGTTTCCTCTGTAAGAAGGACACCTACATCACAGGCATTTAAAACAGTGTATAGGCACATGGTAAGTGCTGTATGGATGTTAGCTACCTTATACCCATTTTACAGATGTAACAGGAAAACTGAGTCACAGAAAGGCAAAGTCACAGAGGTGGGATTGGAAGCGCCTACTCCAGACTTTGCGTGTAACCCACTCTGCCCATTGCCTTCTTCTCCCAGGGTGGCTGGGAGCATTTTGTAATGAAGGGGTTCAATAACAGCGTGGACAGCCCAGGTAGAGACCTCAGCTGTTTCTGCCAACTCCTCTGTAGTCCCTCCTGCGGGGATGGGAGGCTGGCCTGGCTCCAGGTCTGCAGGATTGCCTGCAGCTTGCTCACTGCCTGCCTGGGTCTGAACTCAGCTCTGGTCAGCTGCTCACTGGGAGTCCCCAAGCTTCTTCCTCTGCTCTCCCTTGGAAGGAAGCACACGGGTGGGGCACGGGAAACGTCCTCCACCCAGTTAGGGGCTGGCAGAGCCCCTGCCCACCCTGAAGAAGGGGCTTCCCCCACCCTGCAGCAGCTGTGCAGCCACCCTCTTTGCCTCTGCAGGGGCAGGGAAGGAAGTGGGGCAATGCCAAGGCCAATTAAACTCGCCAGGGGGATTAAGGTCAGCAGGATGCAATTATGCCTGTTGGATTTAACAAGGCCCAAGAAGGCTTCTCCAGCCAGAGTTCACGGCTTCTTAGGCCTCTTGCCCTGGGTGGCTCTGCCTTCCAGGAGCCTGGGCTCCCAGCTCACCCATCCCTGGGAAAATTCTTTGGGAGTGGAGGGGTTAACTCTCGGGCACCACTCCCTGGCTCCTGGGAGGAAATTCCTCCAGCCAAGAGGCTTTAAAAGGACCTGCTCAGAGGAGACAATCCCTGCTGTGATGGAAAATCCAAGGAGTTGAGCAACGACCTTGCTGACTCCAAAGAGAGCAGCCAGCTCCTCTCAACATTCTTTCCCTCAGGTTCTGAGATGGGCACTCAGGGATGTCATAAGTGAGCCGTTTTCTCCCGTCCCTTCCCACCTCGGGCCCCTGGAAAAGCCCTAGATAAGGCCGCTGTCCTTACCAGCCAGACCCCATCCTTTCCTCCAAGGTTGGTAAGCAGGGACTGTGGGCATCCTGCATGGCAAAGGGGATGTAGATTTCTCCAGAAGCCCAAATGACAGACTGTTCAGTCCTAGAATTGTAGGATTTTGTCGCTAGGATTATTTACTGGCTGTTTTACTCTATGGCAAGGATTAAACTGGCCACTTTGGGGATACAGAGATGAAGCTGAGGAAAGCTATAGAATCACCACACATTATATTTTAAGTGAAAAAAAGATTGCAGAATTGTTCATGGAGTGGCATCCTTTTTTGTTAAAAATATTTATAGAGAAAATGTCTGGAGGGATATAAATGGACAGATTAATGGGTGTGGGAATGGAGATGATTTGATTTTCCTTTTTTTTTTTTTGCAATTGTCCATTGGTTAGTCTCATCAGATTAATCAATAATTCAAAACACATCAGTATGGACACAGGTTTCTACAATTCCAGGCCGAAGTGGTAAGAGCTGTCTGAGATAGAAAGTACCATGGGTTTTCCGAGGCGCAGTCCGTGGGACTGATCATTAGGGATGACTTTTCGATGGCTCAGCACTGCAGAGAGCTCACAGTCCGGTCACCGTGAGGCTTCTCGGTGCCTGAGCCCAGAGTTTAAAACGAAGTCTTCTTGGAAAGGGGCCCCAGGAATCTGTAGCTATAACCAGGCAACTGTCGTGTACACTCAAGTTTGAGAACCGCTGAGTTAGAGGGCTAAAAAAAACCAACACCAAATCCACTGCCGTCGAGTCGATTCCAGTTCATAGCGACCCTATAGGGCAGAGTAGAACTGCTCCATGGGGTTTCTAAGGAGCACCTGGTGGATTTGAATTGATGACCTTTTGGTTAGCAACTGAACTCTCAACCACTACACCACCAAGGTTTCCTCTAACCACCGAGTTAGAGGGCTAGCTA